AACATATTCGTGGTTCACGTCTATTACGTGTTTTAATTTGATGAATATTTTGACCACTTATTGTTTGACTACAATTACAATTAAGTGTTGATCGACCATTTTGTTCTTGTTCGTGTCCTTGTTCTTGTTCTTGTACTTGTTGTTCTTCATGTCGATTATCATTTAATGAATTTACATTTGAAACAGAATGATCAGATATTTTCATTTGTTCATCTTCATTATTATTAGTTTCAGATAGAATTGTTGATTGATGTAATTCACTTAAATAATCATACAGTGTAAATGTTTGAAAACGATTTAATGCTAAACTAGGAAATGATAAAAATTCAAATGTACGTGGTGGTCGTCTTCGAAACCAATCATGTTGTTTTATTTGTTCTAATGTAAAACGTGAACGATTATTAATATGTAATAAACCATTAATAAGTGCAGCTAGATGTGATTCAATATCATTTGGTATTGTATAAACACCTTTACCAATTGTTTGAAATAATAAATAAATATTATCAGCTTCAAATGGTAATCGTCCTGTAACAAGATTATATAATGTTACACCACATGACCATATATCAATTGAAAATCCATTATATGTATCTTCACCATTAGCAATTTCAGGACATTGAAATGCAGGAGTACCTAAAATGTATTTAGTTTTCAATTGAGATAATGCAGCAAAACAAAAAAAACAAACAAAATATTACAAAAAGATATACATCGATTATGTGATACTTAATTGATAAAAGCTTTAAATAGAATATTGAAATCATTGACTAATAAGAGTGACTCTCATTTTATGTAAAATACATATAGAATATTTCGTCGAATTTCTATCCGAATTATAATCTAAATTATTTTAAGATTTGTAGAAAAATAGTTGATTATTACTCATATTTCGATCAATTATTGACATCAATGTACACTAGTTTGCGTAGATCCAAATCTCAAGATGTACGCAAAGAAATGGCCTATTAAGATTACTATCTTTTGTTTTTATTATAATGACTTCTACCAAGGTCAAAATAACTCATACACATAGTTTACAAAAACAGTATAAAAATAATTAAAATTTCAAAGAATGATCTATTAATTTTATTTTCAAGGACAACATTATTCTCATTATAAAATTATATACCTTGACTTCGTTTAGTTGTATCATCAGCACTAAACCTAAATACCGAAATAAAAAACAAACATTTCGAAATAATTTCTCTTTCAAAAAAAAAACAAACAAACTTACATATCAAGTTGTTCAGCTGTTCCAAAATCAGTAATTTTTAATTGATGATCAACAGTTATCAATAGATTTCCTGGTCTAAATAAAATAAAATATATTTCATCTAAACTCTCCACAGAATAGAAGCCTACTCTATGCGAACTAGCGTAAAATAGAGATGCAAATCATTGAATAGATTCATTCATCGCTTTTCATTGTTTAGTTATAACTTCTTTAGTATATCTAATTTTGTTTGTTCTACAGTAACAAACAAACAAGTTTGTTTCATGAACCGAAAAATGTGTATACATAGACATTAAATGAGAGACAGTTGTTCAGAAACTTGCAAATTAGAAATAGGCATGCTTTAATACCATTCTATTGGGGTTTCTGTAACCAGAAAAAAAATGAGACATTTCACAAAGTTGAACGATGATCGATTGAAATTATGCAAATGTTTGTCGGACTATAAAAACAAGTACTAATATAAGATAAGTACAATATTCATTATTGGTACACTTATAAGATTTGAATTATCCGTTTCATATAAATTCGAAACCCACAACTTGATAATAAATCTTTTACTTTATAATTCTTTTAAAATAATTCAAATATATCTCTGCACATAAACTTCAAAGATGACATTACCTGGCAGTTCTTTCTCAAATCAAAGATTCACGAAGATGAACATGCGAATGAGAAAAGTATATAAGTGAATTTAAAGTTCGTTAGTAATTATACAATTTGAAAATTCTATTTTATCGTATCATGTACAATTTCTATGTGCTTGTAAACAAATCAAATTAACATAAAAGAAAAAAGCTTGCCTTCAAACGCTTGATTTATAAAATAAATTATAGAAGCTAAGTAGACTACTTATTCTGTCAAGGATTATTCAATGTTTTTTTCATTACATACTTAATATCATTATGAATAATAAATTTCGAATGGAGATATTCTAAACCATTAATTAATTGTACAAAATAACCATGAGCTTGCCATATAGGAAATGCTTTTTGTTCATTAGTATCGAGCATATCTTGTAATGAAACAACACATAAATCAATAAATAAATATAATTTTTGTTTTTCATCATTTCTTATAAAATCATATAAATGTATTATATTTGGATGATTTAATTTTTTTAATAAACGTATTTCTGTTGCAGCCATTTGTTCACCATGTGGTGTTTTACGTAAACGACGTCGTTGCATAATTTTAACAGCACGTCGACATAAATTACGACTATCTAAACATTCTTTTACTTTTGCATATGAACCTTGTCCAATAACATCACCAAATAGATAAGGACCAATAAATTTTGCACGTTTACGTTTAACATAAAAATTGAATTCATCTTCAGATGAAACACGTTGAATAGGTACTTGTGTTGATGATGTAAAATCAACTAAAAATGCTGATGTTTGTTCTTCATATTCATTAAATACAACATTATATTGTTCTTTTGATTGTAATGTTTGATTATTATATAATATTGATTGTTGTTGTTGTTCTATATATGTTATAGGAATAGGTTCATCATCATCATCTTCTTCTTCTTCTTCGTCGTCATTGTCAAGATAATCACAAATAATATTTTTTGATTCAGATGAATATTGAAAAGTAGTTATTGTTGTTGATGATGTCGGTGATAAATTATTATTGGCCATTACTAAACATGATTTTTTTTGGTTGTTTTATCTGAGAAATTAATATGTTTTGTTTGAATAATATGAAGATAAAAATTATAAATAAAAAATTAACAACAATCTTTGTTGATTTATGAGATAATCTTCTATAAAAAAAAAAAAAAAAAAAAAAAAAGAAGAAAGAAAAAAAAGAATTTTAACTATCGTCTAAAATACAAAAATATTTCAGATTTATTAGATATAAAATATGATCTAGTTATGTTTGTTTTTTTTTTTATTTCAAAATCAAATGTTCTTTTTTGTAAGACAATCTTTTATTATTGATGGTTGTTATAGAGAACGAATGGAAAAATCTATGTTTTACTTCGACTTATATTATCGATAGATGGCAATGGCATAGTTTAAGCACATTCAAGTTAAACTACGTGAAATACCGCTAACGAAATATAGTTTATTACATTGAACTGATCAAAAATCGATTATTAAAATTGTTCTACAGAGCCAAATGAATATCATAACAAAATAATAACATATTTATGATCATTTATAATATACAAGAATACAATAATCTCAAAGCACAAATCTTTTTATATACATTCACAGTAAAAATTTCACACTTGAAATTAGTTGTTCGAATGATATAGTATAAAAATTTAGTTTATATTTATTCTATGAAATATTTTATTCGTTAATTTTCTTTTTTTGTAATTTTTGATTATCAACTAGTCAATATATGTTCTATGTAATAAGTGTATGATAGATTCATTTTTTTATTTTTGTTTTAACTAAATGACATTGATTCATAAATATTATTAATAAATAACACATATTCAGAATCTGTCAAAACGTTTTTCATGCTCATTATGTATATGAAACGACTACATCAAATCAAATTTCACATTAATCGGTAGTCTTCATCGTGTATATAAATAAGAAAAACTATTTACATTTTTAATAACATTTATTTATTCACGTATGAGATAAAAACAACGCCACCTTTTACATTCAGACATAATGCGTCTGAAGTATAAAGACGTATCAGCACAAAATCATTCATACGTTTCATTTTATTCTTGTTTCTCTTCGATGAATAGGTAGTGTATTCCTATCAAGCCACAAAAAAAAGACACGTACACACAAATGTCTGTGGTTAGTTAATGTTTAATATTTTGGTATTTGTACATTTATTTAGCCTTGAAATATCTAAAGATATTGTCTGACAGTTATTTACCTTGCTGTCTTTCTTTTTTTCTATAGAAAGCTATGGCCTTCGACGGTTTTTTTTCTCGCTTTTTTTTTTTGCTGTCATTTCCGATACGTTTCAAATAGTTTGTATTGTATCGTTAGTAAGCAATAAGCTGTAAGAATAACCACAATTGTATTAGATTGTTATTTATATATATATCTCATTTCAGCTTGTCTTTTTTTTTTTGTTTTGTCGATAATACTCTTTCTCTTATTTATTATATTTATTAAGATTAAGTCTTAGTGTAACATAACCACAAATTAGCTGCACAAATCGAACGAAAAATGAGTGGACCTTACGATCAACCAATACATAATCAAGCTCCCGGTTTCTATCCTGGCCCAGTTCCCGGTCAAGCTCCTGGCTTCTTTCCTGGTGCCGTTCACGGTGCACCTATAAATCAACCAACTTCAGCATATGTAACGACAGAAGTTACTCATGGTGAGCATGTGAAACAAAGTGGTTCAACATCATCAAGTGGTTCGTATGTTGCTGATCATCATGGAGGCCATATTGGTTACGGTGGTGGTCCAGTGCATAACGTATCTCATCATGGAGGATATGGTGGTGGTCCAGTGCATAACGTATCTTATCATGGAGGATATGGTGGTGGATCGTTTGAGTCAGGTTTTAGTGGTCCGCGACGTCATGGACGTTATCGACGACAAGTTATTCGATTGCCTGAAGCAATTCCGGGATGTGTACGACAAGTGCGACACCGTTTATTAACTCCAGAACCTGATGTACTTGACCGAGTGTAAGTATTAAATCATACAATTTTAAATCCATTTTCATGTCAATTAATTTAAATTTAGTTATATTCAACGTCAAGGTGGTGACATTATAGAAGAAATTACAGAAGTTCCAACAACACCACCACCTCGTGTTCAAGAACGAACTGTTGTCGAACCATCTGGACCACCTCAAGTCGTTAGAAAAGTTATTCGTGTACCACCACGAAGCGGTGGTTATTCTTCATATCATGGAGATATTGGTTTTTCTCATGCAGCTCCAGTCGTGAGCACAGGAAGTTATGCTAATTTATTACCTGCTACTGGTAGTATTCAACACTTTGGCGGTATTCCATGTACTGATAGTTTTGGTGGATTACCATTAGGTGGGTATACTGGTGGACTTACGAATTTTGGTGGTTTTGGCGCAGCTCTTCCACAACCGAGCTTTAATTATGGTGCAGCACTTCCACAACCGAGCTTTAATTATGGTGCAGCTCTTCCACAACCGAGCTTTAATTATGGTGCAGCTCTTCCACAACCGAGCTTTAATTATGGTGCAGCTCTTCCACAAGCAAACTTTGGTTTCGGTGCAGCTCTTCCACAAACAAGCTTTGGCTTTGGTGCAGCTCTTCCACAACCAAGCTTTGGTTTTGGTGGCTTTCAATCTCAAGCATTATTACCAGCAGCTCCAGCTCTCCCAGCTAATTGCTTTATTATTTAAAATTTAATCTGACGAACATTTCTATTATCAAGCAGAATACTATATCAGAGCATTATAAATTAGACATTTCGTTTTCCGTTTTTCTTTTTTATTTAGTTCTAGAAGAGTTTCCTTTTTCTTTTTTTTTTTTTTCTCTGACAAATTTTATTGTGAAATAATACAAAACAAGGTCGAGAGAAAAAAACACAATTTTCTTTTTATCTAACCAAAATTAGTTATCCTTGTTTTCTCTCTTTTTTGCGTTTATTTTCTCATTCTTAATAATGTTCTTATCATAAATAAATAAATATTAAAAAAACGTAAACATAAATTTATAAAAAGAAATAGCGACAAATAAACGTATACTACTTATCTTATTACTGTATCATGTTATACATCAGTGCACACATGCGATAAGCAAATAAGAAAAAAAAAAGTATATGTATCGTTTTTTTTTTCCTCATTGAATGATGTGTATATTCAAAATAACACGTATATGTTATTAGAACATCAGTCGTTGTCAACATAATGAATCATTTCAATATAATATTTTAGTCTAAACTGACAAACACTTTAGTAAACGGTGCGAAAAAAAAACAACAAAAACGGTGCAAAAAATAAATATCAAGGACAATTAAATAGTGTTTTTATATTACATATGATCAACGGACTAACCAAAGTTCGATATTGAAAAGTTTAACAAAAAAGAAAAAAATAAGACTTTATGTAAAGTGAATTATGTGTATCATAAGAAATAAATTACGTACAAATAATCTATTTAATCAAGATTAAATTCATATAACTGATAGATATTTTTTATTTAATAATCAACTTTTTTATATTTGAAAATAAAATATATATCTTTTCTAGTTCTTGTTTTATTAGTTATTTTTGTTAAGGATGATTTATTTGTATATAGAATAGAGACCGAAACGAATAAGAAACTATCGAATCAATTCGATAGCATCTGTTTTCTTGTGTATCTATATACTAAATCTATCGAGTTTAGAGAAATTCAGAAGCTTCAAATCGAAACTTTCTCACCGGCATTCTCAAGAGGTATACTGATATAACTAGTATTAGTGTAAACAAACACATACAACTCGCGACATGAAAGAAATAATATATTTTTATCAAAAATTAGATTAAAGCTTACTTCATAAGAAAATATATATTTAAGTTTTTAAAGTTAATGATAAAGTCATTGAATATTGAATTACAGAATATAGCAGCAAATAAATTTGTTTCTCTCAAACATCAACGTTATTCAATGTCCATCGAACTCTTTTCTCCATATACTTTTACTAAACATATCTAGCAGGTACACTGAAAGACCAATGACTACCTTGTAATAGCAAACAGAAGAAATAACTGCTCGTTCTCTTATTCATAATATTTATTCAATTAGTTCATATTGTCAGATAGTGTCTATCTCGCACACAAAACAAGTCTATATAGAACCAAGAATAGACAAACATAAATACAAAAAAACAAGATCGCTAAGCTAAAGTACAAATTAAACGAAAGAGAATATGAAGATAACAGCAAAAGAGTAATATAGTTATCGGTTAATTATTCTCCTTATCATTGAGAATTATATTCTCTACTATTGTGTCCTTAGCTAATCAAAGAGATTTAATCGATAGATAAGGAAATTGAGAGTTCTAAAGCAGAAATGAAATTAATCGAAATTTTTGATGACAGGCGATCAATAAAACTGGATATACTTCGAATCCGAAAACAGACTGAAAATTTTGTTGTGTTCGAATTTGATGATTCACATACTTTAAACAATAATGGATAATACAAAAATAAAATTAGTTTCTGCGGATTTTCTATAACACAAAAAAAATAGAGGTGCATAGGGCGTAAAATTCGATCATTCTTGGATTATTTGGTTTCATATATCGTTTGATGCAGAATTTTAAACTAAAGTTTTTAGCAATAATTTCACATTGATTTGAAAATGTTGAAGTCTGTAGTGAACCAAAAATACTACGACTCTTACGTTCCTAGCTACGAATTCATCCTTGAAATTATGAGATATCTTTGTACAAAGATAGTACTTTGAGTTCGGCATAATCTCATGAGATAGACCACAGAATTTCACATCCATGCTATACAAAAAAGACTATAAAAAAGCTTTTTTGATGTCTCTGATTCGTCATTTCACTGATAATCAATGATATCTTAGTTAAAAGTATAGTTTCGTTCGCCATCTTGTTAATCGATAGATATCAATTCCATTCGGTTGTAGCAAATGATTATTTATATATCAATCGATAGCACTTTTCATAGACTATAAAATCATCTAATTTTTAAAGTTAGAAATTTCTGACTGTTTAAGCACTTCTAAGCATACTATTCCGAAAACATGATTCTGCGCTTTATTAACGAATGCTTAGCAGTTTTTTTTCGAGAAAAATTTCAGTTTTAATCAAAGTCAATATCCTATTTAGATTTAGCGTTGAAAACTGATTTATCATATATATGTTTCTCAAACATAATCTCATTTGAACAATGAATAACCAATCTCAAACTTGTAAAATGCACTTAGAACGAGATATGGGGAATATACAGAGTAGTCCAAAAGTAACTTGGCAGTCTTTTATTGCGAATAACTTTTGATAGGAACAAGGTAGAGAGTTACAGGCTTCACCATTCGAAAGAGAAGATGAAGACGCATTGAACTGCATAATATAAGATAATTTGACCTAGGTTTTTTAAGGACTTAAACCGACATTTTTGAAAAGCAACGTACTTCGTAAGGTGACTCTACTAAATTTTTTATAATCAGATGTGCATTCAAACCGCTAGTCGAAAATCTAAAAAACTGTGCAAAGCTCAGACTTTAAGAATTACTTCTTCAGAAATTATAGGTATTCTACTCGAAATTCTGAGTCGATTTTATCCGACAATTTTTTTAGAAACTTGATTAAGAAAACTCTAGAAACTATCTTAGAAAAACCTATAATATATGATACGATGCATCTTCATCTCCGCTTTTCAAATGGTGAAAACTGCAGATCTCTATCTTGTTCCTATCAAAAGTTATTCGCCATCAAAGACTGTCAAGTTACTTTTGGACTACTCTGTAGATCAAGAATAAAAATAGCGTTGTAACAAAATTAGTTTCTTTTTTTTTCCTAGTTAAACCTTTGTGAAAATATCTCGTAAAATCATACAGTATGAATTTTGCGACATCCAATTGTCATTAAGATCTTTGTATAAGAATTTTCTAGATGGGTGAAGCGAAATTTATTTTATTTTTACTCATCAAAGTTTATTTCAATAGCAAAAAAATCAATGGTATGGAAATTAATAAAGAATAAACTTGAATATTTCTTCAGGATAGACGAGAAAAGACGAAAGGATAGAGTTTCCTCCACATCCGCCCTTCTACCTATCAGGACAAGTGACGACAAAAAAAAATAGAAGAAAATTTTATATAGAACACTGTAGGAAACTTCGGAGAATCATCCATGAATCGTATAAGATCAGAAATTAAAATCATACAAGATCTTATAGTTGGGTTGTGTTTAACCTGAGTAATAAAGAAAATTGTAAAACTAATTATTTAATTATCGCCTGGTTCGTTAATCATTTCTTATATATTCAATTATCGACCAAAAAAGACATATTAATGAATTATGTTCATATCATTTTTTGTTTTTTTTTTCGTTTGCAAAAATATTCATTCATTCTTGATGATGATGTACGAAAATGAATAGATGCCGTTATCGTACTATTAAAAAGACTAAGGTTCAATTAGTATGGCGATAGAATGAATACAATGATTCGCCGTATGTTGAACTGAAATAACGAAATAAAAAACGAAGATCCATTATTTTGTCTCTTTCTATTGTTTTAAAACTCGATTTAATCTCAAGGACAAAACGCAGTCATATTCAAGGATCTTTTTTTTTTTCTTTTACTCTTCATTTGACAAATCAAATTGTTATATATATATATATATTAAATTTCCTGATACAAAAAAAAAACGAAAGAAAGAAAGATAGTTACATTTCTATGAAAAGAAAAAAAAAACCGTATAATAAAATATACATTCATGTTTTTTTTTTCTCTTATTCTTTTTCTCTGGTTTCTTTTGTCCTTGTTAAATTTTGTAGTAATAGTCAAGTGTTTTGATTTGATTTAATTATTTTCTATTTCTTTCACTTTCTTGTTCTCTCTTTCTCTCTATCGTATTGAATATTCACAAGGAATATATTTTGTTGATTTGTAGATGATTAAAACTAAACTATTCATTAAATCATTTGTCTCGTCTTTCTAATGACGTGCAAAGTTTTATCACCTTATATCGTCTGTCTTGTTTTTTATTGTTTTCAACAATAAAAAAAAAAAAGAAAAATTGTTTATTTAACGCGGTTGTAACAACATCGGCGTCGTGTTTATTCTAACTGTCTCACGCTCTGTCCACTGTCACCAATACTGTGTTTAACCTTCATCTTGACCGATATTTCTTTTTTTTTTTCCGTTTTATTCTTTGTTTATATTGTTCAACTATTCAAGATACGTGTGTACGAGACATCTTCATCAAAGTTAAGACTTTATTGTTATTATCATAAGCAGAAAATCAAATAGTACGTTTTTCTTTTCTTTTTTTTTTTTATCTTTGATTGATCGAAAAAGATTCATTTGATTGGTGAGTAATAGTTAGAAAACGATTTATTGGTAGTTGGTCAGTGAATGTTATGTGATCTATTGTCTAGTAATGAGAAAGAATCATGCAGTACTCATTTTCTTTTTTTCTTTCTTCTATTAATACTCATTATACCATCACCAACAGGGATAAACGATATAACTTATATATATATATACAACAGGTGAATAAAACAAGTTTGTATTGATATTCACTTCTAGATGATTATATAAGCGAATATGAAATAAATAAAACAATAGAGAATGATAAATCAAAGTTGGAGTATTGAACTTTGGGTTTGTATTTATTTTTATTTTTTATCATATTCAATTGTTTATTGTACTTTTTTTGTTTTTAG